CAAAGCCCCATATGTGCGGATACTGAGTATTTCGAGCGGAAATAACCTTGATGGGCTTGGTAGAGCAATCTATCTTCAGCAATGCGCAACTCTATCCAACTCTATCCACTGGCCGCAGTCACTGTCTATCCGCTTCCCGTGATACCTACAGGTCCAATACACGTGAGTCGGTCGCCGTCTCAAGACCTCGGTACCGAGAGTTACTCCGGAGACTTCACTAACCCAGTGTTGGTGATCCGCTCAATATCATTGCGCAAAGCAACGCCATCGAGTTCTTCCACCCAGCCCCATGGCTCCGTATACAGGCCCCGCTTGATGCCTTGCAATCTGTCTGTCAATCTGGCATAAGCGGATTGCGGAGATTGCGCATCGACGGTAAACGCGAACCGCTCGCCAGTCGACTCGCGCTCGATGGCGCTTACGGGCACCAGCGATGATGCAGTGCCCACGGTGTAGACCTCAGAAAAGTCGCCAAGCTCAGTGAACGGGATCTAATGCCATGACGCCGGAACACTATTAGCAGTTTAATCTCCCATAAAATTCAAAAACTTCCGCCGAGATCTCGATCCTCCCCCACATGGAACGCTGAAGGGAGGAATGGAACGCTGAGGAAGCAATTGGCTATTGGTGGTGGATCGGACAAGAAATTCAAAACTTACGGGACGCCTCTCCACCTTCCAGCCAAGGGCCTGGGCAATTTGTCCAACGCTGTCGACCGTGATACTTGGGAGGATATGCTCGTCCTTGGGAATGACCATTGTAGGCGGAGCGCCAGTCTCCGCAGACTCTGCCTTGATTCCAATGAAGCCGCTGGCAGAGAACTCGTGGATGAAGGACTGCGTCTCGGCGTCTAGGTGGAGTGTCAAACCGTAACCTTGCTTTCGTGCCCGTCCCATTATCGGGATGGTGGGTCCGTAATTCCCACCGACTTTGAAAGCGCCGGTGCCTTTCGGCGCCGTACGGTCGAATCCCTCCACAACCAACGCTTCGAGACCCGTTGCTCCGTATAGCAGACCGACGGGCGTGACCAAAATGGCAAATGTGTACTCTTCCGCCGTGTACATGTTCATGGTCGGGCTGCTCGCAAAGACCACTGGACGCACATACATGGAACAGCCCCCCTCGAACGGAGGTACAAAGTCGCTGTTGAGTTGAACGGCCAACCGCACCAATTTGGCAAACAAGTCGGCCGGGACGGCCGGAATGTCGACGGCAGCGGCAGAGCGGGCGAACCGGGCCGCATGGCTCGCCAGGCGGAAAAGCTGGATGTTCCCTGACTCGCTACGAAAGACGCGTAGCCCCTCAAATGCTTGCTGGCCGTAATTAAGCGCCGGCGACAGGCCGTGGACTTTTAGGTAAGGCTCGTGTACCCAACGCGGTTGGCTCCAGGCGCCAGACTTAGCCGTAAATGTGCACTCGATGTGGCCGTTGACTAAGCACTGTTATTACCACATCCAACTCAAAAGTTCGTTTAGCGGGTGTCGTCGATTGCTCCATGTTGATTGACATCGAACCACAGTGACCCCATCTCCAATTGAACTGACCTTGGAAAGGCGTAAAGCCGATTTTGTTCCATTCTACGTTCGTTTTCGGCGGACGAACTGCTAAGAGATTCTCGGTCTCGGTCTCGCCAGCCGCTGAAGAATGTGCGGGAATAGAACCCATAGTGGTAGGTATTTCGTAAGAGAAACGAGGATCGAGTTGCCGATAGCCGGTACGAATGCCACTACAAACAAGTTGTAAGAATAGAATAGCAGTTGGACTCGATACTAGAGGTTAGCCAAAGCGACATTAATTAGAATAATAATTGATTCAAATACTGCTCTATAATACTACAAATCTAAGTTCCGATAACGAGCTGCTAAGTGTACCAATCCGGACTCTCGAGTTGGTTATCGTCGACGGCTGACCGTCAGCGTCTGACCACAATCTTTAGCTAGAACGCTTCCCGCTTGACCTTACAGCTGAGGATGCTTTACAACGCGTTGTCCGGCGCATCTGGAACGCCATTGACCGCAGTAGTAATACTCTAGCCACTTCATCCCATGGAACCCATCTCTAGTATCCGTAGTCTCGACTGGCTGTGCCGGTATGCAAAGTCCCTGGTTGGCTCTGTATCTGCACATGCTGCTCCGTGATTCCATTGGGGAAGGCCATGTGGGCCTGGGGGTTTAGACTTTCTCGGGGTTTTGTGACACGGTCACACAGAGGACGCCTAGAATCAATGTTGTTTTGCCGCCGAGTTCCGATTGACCAAATCGAAGGGGGGCATGTTATGGCGCCAGGGTGAAAAGCCTAATAAACCCTTGCTTTTTCGTTGGAAAGTCGTAAGACGGTCGACTAGCCAGGACCAGGGCCTCATGCAAGGTCAGCAAAATCATTACACTCGCAGGGCTGGTGAGCCCCTGATCTTCGGATAGATTCACACTCCCGTCACATCCTCAGCCTGAATGCACAGTCTTCTCTCTCTGTCAATGAGTTCGCTTGCCTTCAATGCATTGTCCGGCAGGCAAGCAGCGTCAACATCATGAACCCCAAAGTTGTGTCTGGCCGAGCTCGGCTCGAATGAAACAGTTGCAACACAAAGGATGAGAAAAAACAAACTCAATTGGAAGCCATGCGTATACTTCAAGAAAGAAACCGCGATCTAGATCTTATTCATGAAGCTTCAGCAGCTCTGTGCAACCGCCTTCACTTCTAACTTTTCATTCAACCCTCGAAGCAATTTAAAATTGTCAAAATGTCTACTGCATTCAAGATTGTTATCTTTGGCGGAGATTACGCCGGGCCAGAGGTATGCTCCATCTCCCCCAGCTCACCCACACACCCATTGAGGTGGATAAATCCGTCATTAATCACAAATGCAGGTCATGTCCGAGGGGCTCAAGGTCCTTCACGAAGTCGCCCTCCGCCACCCCGAAATCAAGTTCAACCTGACGCATCATCCAATAGGCGGAGTATGTCAACGACAAGGCTTTCTGTCAAACCGCGTATTCATTCTCTCTAACCTTTTTCGTCACAGACGTCCTTTGATCTTCACGGAAAGCCGATCCTTCCCGAAGCTCTTCAAGATGCAAAGGAGGCCGATGCAATCCTGCTAGGCGCAGTCGGTGGTCCTGTAAGTGCCGGTGACCGCTCTCAATAAATCGCCTTGCTGACAATGAGCTCCAAAGAAATGGGCTGGACAGGTTCCTTCTGTTGAAGCCGCGAGTCTCGGAACTCTGCGCCGCGAACTGGATGCGTTCGGCAACCTTCGTCCGATCAACTTCCCGGCCCCATCCCTAGTCGACACGTCACCAATGAAGGCCGACATCTGCAGAGGCACCGATATTCTCATCGTTCGCGAGCTTACTGGTGGTATTTACTTTGGGCACCGAGAGCGCGGAGACCTCATTGCCAAAGATACGGACCAGTACACCTATGAAGAGGTAGCGAGAGCCGCGCGGTTGGCTGGCAATCTGGCGAGGCTGTCAACTCCGCCTAAGCCTGTCATCAGTCTTGACAAGGCGAATGTTCTCGCGGCTTGCGGCAGTTTCTGGCGACGCATTGTCACTGAGGTCCTGAGCAAAGAGTTTCCGGATGTTCGTTTCGAGCACCAGCTGGTCGACAGCGCTGCCATGACTCTGGCCTGCAACCCTACCAAGCTCAACGGCATCGTGTTGACGAGCAACCTATTCGGTGACATCATTAGTGATCAAGGAAGTGCTATTGCTGGTAGCATTGGTCTTCTCCCCAGCGCTAGCTTGCGAGGCATCCCACCGCAATCTGGCAGCAGCATGATCAAGGGCTTGTATGAGCCAGTTCACGGATCCGCGCCAGATATCGCCGGAAAACAGTTGGTAAACCCTGTCGGAATGATCTTGTCTGTTGCCATGATGTTCCGTTACTCTCTCAACATGCCTGAAGCTTCCGATCTCATATGCAAGGCCGTCAGCGATGCGATTGAGTCGGGCGTCCGGACTTCGGACTTGGGAGGCACCGCAACAACAAGCCAATTTGGTGATGCAGTGGTCAAGATCATTTCTCAACTTCCGTGAGAGGGAGAGGCACAGTAGTTGTAGGCCAAGGGCTATTGCTGGCGCCAAGAACTGTGATACATGGATATGAGTATGGGAATCAAGGATGTATAGACTACCTTAGATACAAAGGCGGAGGCATGGCAGAGTAGAAGTTTGCTCCCGCACGGTTACATCGCACTAAATCACCTAAAAGGCACATGATCTGAAAGAACTTTACATTTGGACTCTATCTTTAAAAGAACGCACGGTAAGTCTTTTTGGCATCATACAAAGCTCATTCCGGTGATCGAGTCTCAGACGATGATTCCCATATGTGATGCACTGAGTCGGGGAATCACTTAGGTCTATATAACTCAGATTGTTGACGTGATCAAGAGACGGACTAAATCGCCCAGCCAAACTCCGGTTTAACATTAGAATCAACCTGGACCAATCACTTGTCAATGCTTCCTTAGTGAAAAGAAGCAGTGTCACCACAGAAGCTCAAAGGTTCGCTGACCGTCGTCACATTTCAGACCCCCTTACCCCTGTTACACACGTTTCTCGTGTTGGTTGGATAGTGGTCTGTTACAGCTAGACCCGCTCAAGAGTGACCCTCGGAGGGTTGATGGAGGGTCGATCATGCCGAGCCGCCGGCGGTGCTGGATGCAGGACGCGTCATTTGCGAGACACAGAGGTCGACCAACTTGCTTTCACTCTAGGCACCAGCCTTGGCACCCTCCTTGGCACCCTGACCTCTCGGAATGTAGTTGATGCCGCTTTGAGATAGTCTTTGGTGCCCAGCATCTTTAAGTTGACTGTCGAAGCCGGCTTGAAGGGTTTGCTTGACAAGGTTGTCCATATCGAGCAGAAAAGACCACCATCTTCCAACTTCTAGACCCATCAGAAACTAATCCGAATGTCTGTCTCTATTTACTCGCTGTAACTACTAGTATTTGTATTTGTCATTTTCTTTTTCTCGACACCACCGAACCAAGCAGAATGTTTCCAACACCAACGCTGGCAATCCGGGACGATGGTGACGATGATCCTCCGAGAACAGATTGCACCAGTGCGGTGCCTGGACCAAACGGAGCCGTTCCCTGGGACGCTTGCAACTCTAACTACAACTTCCATCCCGAGTTAACGCCCGCTATTGCAACGGCTTCGATATTTGGTGTTTTGACGTTGGTTCATCTAGTCGAAGCGATATGGTACCGAAAGGTAAGATCACGCATCCAAAACTTCCTTCCGGTCGTCCTTCTACTATTCACAGAGTTACGCCGACCATCGGAAGAAGTTAGTGGAGGGTATAGATACTAACAACCAGTGGCATATAGCCTTTCACATGGACGGTTCTTATGGCGGCAAGCTGGGAAATGGGCGCATTCATTCTGCATGCATACGGCTCGCAAGATCAACAAGCTCAGGGGTACGCCACAGGTCATCAGGTGCTATTCCTGTTGGCTCCTGTATGGCTGAACGCCTTTGTGTACATGACCTTTGCACGAATGGTCTACTTCTTTCGACCAGGCGGAGAACCTCAAGTTTCCTACATTCCGGCAAGATGGCTCGGCCGCATCTTCGTCGTTGCCGATATCGCCACCTTCATCGTGCAGGCCACAGGAGGTGTGATGGCTGGTCCGACGGTTGAACCTAACACCAGAGCAAAGGGTGTCAAGATCTATATCATCGGCATGGGTGTCCAGGAGGGGTTCATCGTGGTGTTTTTGATGTTGATGGCTCGCTTCCACTATCGCGCCATACAAATGAATAAGAACGACGTTTACGGACTGGAAGGTGGCTCATACGAACGCGAGGATGAAGAAGGCTACATGCCGCGACGAACCTGGAAGGCCCTTCAATTCGCGCTTTATGCAGCCTTGCTTGCGATCACGGTTAGTCCCATTTCTATGCCCCTTCACCGAATCCTCTCGACACTGTCTAACTGACCGGTGTTGGCTTGCCTAGGCGCGTATTATCTTCCGCCTCGTCGAGTTCACCGGAGGCATGACTCCTGAAGAGAACCCCATACCCTTCACGGAAGCATACGCATATGCTTTAGACGCCTTCCCCATGATACTGGCATTGCTCATTCTCGCTATCATACATCCTGGTCGAATCCTTCAGGGTACGAACAGCGAGTTTCCCAGGAAGGGATGCCGACAGAAACGCAAGGAGAAGAAGGAGAAAAAGGCGGTCAAGAAGGCAGCGAAAGAGGAACGTAAGGCAGCCAAGGAAGAAAAGAAGAGAATCAAGAACGACCGAAAAAAGATGAAGACATATGGAGAGGTACCTGATGCAGAACCGGATAGCTATGGAATGGGGCTGATTGACGGGCAGAACCACGAGCCCATGCGATATGCAGACTATGCTAGGTACGCCAGATGAATCATGAATCCAAGAAGTTATGACAGGGCACAATTATTCACATGTAGCAGATAATCAACATCAATGTGTACGAAGTATATGCCTTCACGGAAATGCCTGCTATCTCTACGCCTGCCTTTTTCACAACATACTTTACCTAGATTCAACCTCTGACCACCTGCTTGTCTATGCCGCCCACCTACGTAAAGGACACAGGCCCAGACCACGAACGGAGCACATAGAGTGATCACAATGCTCAGATCCGCTTCATCGATAGAATTGGACCTGAACCTACCTACCCAAAATACATGTAATTTGCCCCAGATATCTCAGCTCCAAGAGCACACCCACAGTCCGCTTATTCATGATAGCCGTTACGTGTTGCATGCTGAAAATACCGCCACCGCATTTAGAATGGATTATTCTTCAGCTTCCTTCGCTCTCTCTGACGACTTGGCCTTTTCCTTGCAACATTGAATGCAACGTACAGTATCCATGTCGCCGGCATATTCCAGACTTCTTACGAATACACGTCGTAGCTGACAGTGCATATGAATAATGGATCCTGATCCTGGCACACTTGGGAGACCCGAGGAGGGGGCACCCCCAGTGGATCTGTCAAGGCTTTTGAATTTTGTCTGTGCATGCATGTCATCCCGAATTTCGGGAATGACACGAGACGTAGACAACGTGTTGACGAGAGGAACTGATCATGGCCTGAAGTTTTGGATTCTCGCGCAATGGATTTCGGAGACCTCCACGTCGAGACTGCTGCACAGTCAGCGGAAGAGGCTGCTGCATTATTCGCAAAGTTCGACATGTATCTAAATAAACATCACTATCATGACACTAGGTTTGTAGAACGCCATCGAAGATTGGATCTAATCGTAGTATGACATCCAAGACCGCCGACATGCCTTTTCTGATACTCGGCTCGGCGCTGCCGTTTGTGGCTTTCCTGCTGCTTCTTGGACTTTTCTTGTTCCAAACGTTATACCGCATTTTTACGGGAGGCCTTTCGAAAGTACCCTCTGCTCATTGGACGTGCTCTTTCAGTCCCGTTTGGATTCTTTGGCAGCGTTATCATGGGAAGGAACTGAAAGCTGTTCTTGCAGCTCATGAAAGACTGGGCAAGATCGTTAGAGTTGCGCCGCAAGAGATCAGTATCAGCGACTACGAGACTGGTGTTCGCCAGGTTTACAACGCCGGCTTCGAAAAGCCAGGCTACTTCGACTTCTTCCGATACTATGGGTAAGTTCTATCGTCAAATCTACATAATCAACGATCACTCTCCCGGAATTTTGGTCCCCTCAAGTTTGCGGCCATTACACGTACTGACTTGCTTGTGTCTTAGACAACGGAACTCGTTTGCCAGCCGGAGCCGAGCCGATCATGCCGCATGCCGCCGACGAGTGTCTTCGTCTTATTCCAAGACGACGCTATTTGCCTCAGAGACGTTGAGCAAAGTAACTCACAACATCATGTATCAACGCCTCATGCCAGTTCTTCAGCATCACTCTGCACACGGACAACCGGTAGAGCTCTTGAGACTTTGCTATGCCTCTGGGTTGGACATGCTCAACTGTTATATTTTGGGTCTTTCTAGTGGACCCGACTTTACTCGAAACCCTGAGTTGACGGAAATGTGGCTGGAGCACTACGAGAACAGGTATAGTCCTCAGGGCTTCTGGTTGCAGGAACTCCCTAAACTTTATCATGGGCTTCGTAAGATTGGACTTGATGTGATGCCTCGTAAGCACTATGAATCGACCGAGTGGATCGAGAACTGGATGCTGGAGCATTGCGACAAGTCTGAGGCAGTCTATCGACGCATGCAGAAGGGAGAGCAACCCGCTGCGGAAGATATTCCAGTTGTGTATAACCAACTACGAAAGGCGATGTCCAACTTGAAAGATGGCAAGTTCCTCGACATGCAGGCGTCGGAAGATCTGTCTCGAATCTCCATCGCCAGTGAAATATTCGATCATATGTGTAAGGTTACCCTACTACCCGTTTGCAGTTAGAATCTGTTGCTAACGATATTGTGTCTCTTGAAGCCGGTGCTCGAGAGGTGTTTGGTAAGTTTATAGAGTTTTCCTTGGACTTTTCCATTTGCTGACTTGAGAGTTTTAGGCCTTGTTCTTGCCTACGCGGTGTACTACCTTGCTCAGAACCCAGCACAGCAAGAAATGCTAAAGCATGCGGTTGCAGGACTCGGAATGCACGTGAATCAAGTCGGAACCAACGACGCAAACAATTTGCCTTCGCCTCAGACAATTGAGTCCATTGCATATCTGCAGGCCGTCATCAAGGAGTCTCTGCGCATGAGGCCCAATAGCACTCCTTTACCGCGCATCACACCCCACGACAAATCCGTGAGCATTGCGGGGGTCGATGGCATTCCCGCGGGCACTCGAGTCAACTGTTTCCAATGGTTTCTACACCGGAACCCAGAGATGTGGACTCAGCCGAATGCCTGGGTTCCTGAACGTTGGTTGGACCAGAATGGTGCGGAGAGAACTGATATGCCTCCTCTCTGGGCCTTTGTGACCGGCCCGAGAGCTTGTATCGGAACGCAACTAACATACTATCGTAAGTAAAATCTAACTCCTGAGCATAGATACATGTAACGTTGGGTTGAGCTATCCATACTCTCAACCCAGAAGGATTCATGATTATTAAAGTGAACCTCTAAGCAACATGCGCGCTAACACATGGTCCTAGTATTCGGATATATCCTGGCTGGCCTGTTCTCTAACTTCAACGTTCAGATTGCCCGCCCTGAGACCTATGGCCGCCACACCCCTGGATCTCTGGAAGATGAACTCTTTGTCTTGATGACCCCAATTGCATAAGGGGTTAGTCGCAGTACGATGAATCTCATTCCACTGTGATCGGTATACATATTTGGTTGGTTACCACATAGTATTACGCGATCTGGTTTCAAAATAGTTGGAGAATGCTGGTTGCGCAGGATATGTCGTGTTTAAAAATTTGAAGATAGCACTATAGTCATGATGAGAACAACTTTCAATGCCCTGCACAGGAAGAAAAGTTCCCGCGTGCCCATCTGTTGAGAGATGCACTCCTGCCCACTCAGAGCATCGGCTGATGCATTTCAGAGGTGGCTAAAGCAATGGAGCTACCTCTTTGACCTGAATTATATATGGGGATATTTGAGAATAATAAGCCATCGAATTGCGTGCAAGTGAATCATTGGAAGAAAATCTGCGCGCCCGATCTCTCGATTGTGATGTCGCAGATTCTCGTTCACATTGTTAGCCTACTATCAATTGGATATTGCAGACCACCAATTGAGCGACAATTTATGTAACCCGGTGATGATCATCCGTGACCTGAACTCATGAGCGAGATTGGCAATGCGTCGTGGCACCTTTTTGTCGCAACGTTAGAAACAAAATGATCGGTTCCTAGCGCAACTGCATAGGGACATTAGTATGTACACCTCAATGCGTGCACTCATCCTACCTGGCTCTCTTATATCCAGCAAGGTCTTCGCTGTTCAATCCGAGCACAATATTCTTGCATCCAGAGCATTCAACAGGTTCGCGGGGGTTGCTGAGGCCGACATCCGGTTACCCCAAGATCTCAGCTGCGGCTGTATGCAGTAAGGCAGCCACCGAGTCATACTAAGACCCGATATGATGGCCAAGCTGAACCCCCTTGCCTGCCACCCTGAGGCTGGGAGCCGTGCCCAAGCCCCGCATTATTATATCTTGAATCCCCGTTCCCCTGTGTCAGGCCCATCCCAGTACACTCGTTACAACGATTGTCACACTATGCCTATGAAACAATATGGTCTTACACAAGCATGACTAAGTTTGCCAAGGATATGCCAGTATAAAGGGTCTTCCACTCACTATATAGATAGTCGGGATATTCCCATAGCCACTCGTTCTTCATACTCATCAATACATCCCATTGACCCCCTACCTGATAATCGCTGCCCAACACCCTGTAAAAGACATTCAACACTCATTACCAGTAATCAATGCCCCTCTGCATCTAGCAACATGGCTTCCACTTCTCGCGGTGCTCATAAGCGCTTGATTGTTTGCTGTGATGGAACGTGGATGGACTCGTTAGGTAGCAAGAGGTAAACAAACCTTTGTCTTCGCAGCAAAGCAGCTTCATCGTCAGTTAACGCACAAGCAAAGCGCTGAGCCGCAATCCAATGGGACAAGAATCTCACGACTGCTTCGGCGAACCTGTCAAGAGGGCACCCATCAAATCATCATGTACCACCTAGGTGTCGGCAGCTCAGATAGCGCAGTCGACAAATTCACCGGTGGACTGTTTGGGGTTGGACTTGACCAGGTAAAGTAGATTGCGACTCATCACATATTCCCTGTCCATAGGAAGCTAATCTTACATGTATCTTTAGGCCATTCGTGAAGTATATAACTTCATTTGCACTAATTACGTCGACGGAGACGATGTTATTCTCATAGGCTTCTCTCGTGGCGCTTTCACGGCGCGCTCTGTCGCCGACATGATTGCGACGGCGGTTTTGCTGACTCCCATGGGGTTGGACCATTTCTACGCCATATTTGAAGACTATGAAAATATGGGGGATTCGGATCGTGATCCTAGCCTTTTCTTGGACCCGGAAGTACTTCCCTAAGATGGCGAGAAAGGAGTAGCCAAGGCTAAATGGGAGATGGATCGGAAATCACAGTATGAAAAATGGCTTGCGAAGGTCTGTCATACGAAGTACATGTACCTTTTCTTAAGACGTAACACTGATCAAATGTAGAATGGACTAACGCGACACACGTACGAAGATGCAAATGGCGTGCACGAGATCAATATCAAGGCAGTTGGCGTCTGGGATACCGTCGGCGCCTTGGGCATTCCCCCAGCTCCGGTTATCGGCCTGCATGGAACGTCAGATCCATAAGTCTTCCCCCGCAGTGCCCTTCTCTAAATACGGCTAATGTAGAATTTCAACGTGGAAGTTCGGCAATACTCAGGTTTCAGACCGCGTGGAAAACGCATTCCATGCCCTGTCTCTGGACGAACCCCGATTTGCATTCCGCCCTGCACTCTGGGAAAAGCTCGAGGGCAACAAAACCAATCTCCGGCAAGTCTGGTTTCCAGGTAATCACGCTGGAGTGGGAGGGGGATGGCATGAACAAAAAATTGCCACCATCACTCTAGCTTGTATGTAGCCCATTCCATCGTGTTCTCTTCCACAACCACTTGACAGAAGCTTACATTGAAGAAAGGGATGTGTGATCAACTTTCAACCGTGGGTGTCGAGTTCAACCCAGTCGTATGTCAGATATTTCCACCGAGGGACTTCGATTTTCAGCTGGCCACCCATTCTCCTTCGTGCCCGGCTCTTGGTCATCGTGGATCCGGCCGAAGCAACAACTGCCGTGGGCGAATCCCAAGATATGTCCGGTAAAGGCATCAAGCATTCATCGGGATGAGGCTAAATGTGATGGAAAAGATCGTCATCCTGCCGGTAGTGCAGAAGAGCTCTGGAAACCGCTCGTCCGTGGGGGCTAGGCCAGATCCGTTATCCGACGAGCCGCCTCCAGACCTGGTCAGGAACCACAATCCGGCACCCTGGAACCTTTATGCGTACGGACCCGGAAACGGACCAAGACACGGACCAGCCTTTGCTCAACACCAACGAAAGAATTCACAGTAGCGTGCGGGTCCGGCTGGCTTGCCAAGGCCTTGCTATGGACGACGATGGGATATGGGACTGCAAACCTCTGACCAGAGCCGATGACGGGAGTGGGCTCTGGAACCTAGAACGCGGCTCCGGGCTTAACGCCTCTGAGGCAGATAGCGTCAAAGACGGCAAGACCCGGGAGTTGGATATTGACGCAGAGGGAGGTGTCTCAAAGCCTTTTCCGGTCGAGAAGGAAGATGGCCAATGGAAATGGGTACTGGCCAGCAAACAGCTCAACGCCTTCCCGCAGACTAGTGTGCTGCCCGAGGAGCCTTTGAAGGGATACTGGGAACGGAAGTTGCTTGCTTTGACTGCGGGAAATCCCGACGTGTGGAGGTGGGCGGAGAAAAATCCCCCTCTAGCAGCGTCTGGCTTCATTTCTATCTCAGTCAGTGGCATTTGGGTGAAGTGGGCGGCGGCCGCGAGATCAAGGCCAGTGTGACGAATACGGTTGAATGTCTCAAACTTGAATTTTACCGCTCGAACTACCAGCAAATCAGACAACCTCCCCTTGCAAATGATCGCCCTGGGAGCACGAGTGATCGCCATGCCGGTATTGTGTAACCAGCGTGTCTCCCACGCCTGCTCGGCTCTCGAGTGATACACCATGTCGATCTCAGTCCATTGTTTGTGACTCTCATAAATGAATACCTATGTTGTTTAGTCTTCGATCGTGTTTAACTCACCACTTAGACTTCGACCAGCGTTGCTGATGCCGCTACCATCGCGATATACTGACAGTTGCACGATCTCCGATCAGATTTACCGCATTCTTGAGTATGGCTGCATGCGATCAAAGCTGCGCAATTCCGTCATTTTTCGCGCCTATGGGCAGGCTATTGCGGCCAGCTAACGGGAACTACCAATGGACTGGCAAAAGGGAGCTTACGCCGTGTCTCTGATCGGGCTGAGACATCGGCGGACTTAGGCTTGTCCTACTTGACCAGTAACGGCCTTGTACAACCTAGCGAGACCTTCTCCCGCCTCAAGCCATTTCTCCGGATGTTCTGTGATCCATCCAGCTGGGAAGATGTCACTCTGATTGCTCAAAGGTTTGTTGTCTCTCAGCTTAAGCCTGGCATCGAAGGAGATGAGTCCTGAGCCTTTGGGGCTGTTTACAACGGCAATTTTGATTCCACCTTCTGACTGCATTCGTCGATCAGTTACTATCATGCTGTCTGAGTTGGGATCATCGCGGGATCTGGTATGATTGAGAAGCATGATACCGAGTATAAGGTAACTGAAGATTTCCCTCCTGGTCCAATCTTTCTTCTTCACTCGCCACAGCAACTCCAACATCATCACATCTTCAGCAAAGGTTATCTTTGAATCAACAGTTCAGACATCTCAAAATGGCTTCTATTCGCACTCTTACTACCTTTGCCCTGGCTCTTGGTGCCGCAGCCAACCCTGCGCCTGCTCCTCAGCCCGAAGCTGAAGCTGGCATTGCTGACTCCATCGGCCCCGTCGCAGTCAAGCTGGAACCTGTGTCAGTCTCTTTGACTCTTCCCAATGTCGAGCTCCCAACCCCGCCTGCGGTCAACGCTGCCCGGGGCGTCCCCAACATCGATCTTCCGGTTCTTCCCACTACTCTCCTCTCTGTTCCGGCTCTCAACCTCCCCCGGGGACTCACGGCGCCGACTCTCGCGCCTCCTGCGCTCCCGGCTCTGCCCACCCTGTCTGTCGATGTCGCCATCCCAGCCTCCACCATCTCACTGGCTATCGAAGTCCCGGACCTTAACATCCCCCGGGGACTCACGGCTCCGACTCTCGCACCTCCAGCGCTCCCAGCTCTGCCTACCCTTTCTGTTGATGTCGCCGACCCGGCCTCCACTGTCTCAATTGCCGTTGAGGTTCCGGATCTGAACATCCCTCGGGACCTCCCCATCCTGTCGTCTATTCTTTCACTCTCGGTCAAGGTTGAGGCCACCGGCCTTCCCGGTCTCCCCGCCGGCAACATTCCCCGAGAGATTCCGGCGCTTCCCTCCATCAGCGTTGAGCTCCCCGTTCTGCCCTCGACTTCCATATCACTCCCGCTTCGCAGACACGCCCGGGACATCTCGATCGCCAACCCTCCCCTCCCTACCCTGCCAGCCGTTCAAGTTGCTCCTTACACTGTTGTTCTTCCCGGTGTCGTTGTCCCCAATGTCCCCGGCGTTGTTGTTGGACGCGACATTCCCGCCATCACTGGCCTCCCAGTCGACGTTAGCCTGCCTACCATTGCCCCCAAGCTGAACCTCGAGCGAGACCTCCCTGCTGTCGATGCCATGATTCTCAGCTCTCTGCTCGCCAATCTGCCCACTGCCACCCCCAAGGTCTTGGAGCGCGACTTGCCTATCGATGCTTCTTCGGTTCTCAGCAGCATCCTCGCTACTCTGCCCAGTCCTCTCGCGAAGGTCAACTTGGAGCGCGACTTGCCCATCGATGCCTCTGCGGTCATTAGCTCCCTGCTTGCCGCTCTGCCCACCCCTCCCTCGAAGCTGCTCGAGCGTGAGATCGCCATCCCGCTTCCCACCGTCGCTCACGTCACCTTCTCTCTCACTGACCCCGTCGTTCTCCCTGCTCCCGTCCTTCCTGCAGTTCCCCGCGACATCGTCCCGACATCCGTCGATCGCCCTGTGGTCCCGACTCTGCCTGCCATTCCTCCCGTCAACGTCAAGGGCGAGCCCATCAACGCCAAAGTCCTGCCTCTTCGCGCCCTCCCGGTTCTTCCTATCAACCCTACCACCTTGATCTCATTGATCCCCGCCCCGACCGGAATCCTCAGCTGCTCTACCGTCCAGTGCATTCCTGACTACATCTGCAAGGAGAAGAATGGCGCACCCATCTGCGTGCCCGCCTCTCCCCCTACGGTCCCTGTTGTCTAAACTCCCTGCTGTCGATCCCGTCCCGTTGGAGACGGGCACCCGATCTAGCAAGCCGGCACTCGCAAGCACACTAGCACTCGACGACAACCTAGTGATATCTTAATATCACAAAGCGAGGTAGCAAGTGGAAGACATGTATAGTAGACAGTGGCTTGATTCCTCTAAGTGGAAGATCCGTATGAGGGTCATATCTATATACCGTACAAGACGGGTAATCGGCTTGTGGAAAGCGGTATCGTACGGCAGTAACCGGCAGCGCCACGTGTGGCGCTGCGACACTGAATAACATGGGGATAAAAGGAGGCTTGGATTGCTCACCCTATTGATTGGAACATGGAGGATCGTAGTAATGAGGACGTATAATGGGGAAGGGGGAAACGTTAAACTTAGCTGCCCCTGAGGCATGAATCTATTAATTACTCAATAGCTAATCTAATCCATCTCTTTTCTTAACTGCCAAGACGCGATCATCATCTTCGTCCGAACATGCCGGGTGCTGCTTACTCCCATCCCTTTAGCCTTCAGGGTCTGTTCTCAGACCTTATAGTACGCTTTGTCCGTGAGTTGGTCAACGCCCGTGCCGTAGTTTAAAGTTAGCCCATCCCTTTCATATAACTGGAGACAACCAGTCGACGCCGGCAATTAATCACTTTCAAACAATGAACTACAATGTTCCCTGAATCGCGCCAAACTTACTGCCCGCCGACAATGGGGTTGAATCCTTTACTTTTGGACCATAAAGGTTGACGTTGCCGCCTGTCAATGAACAGGACCAGCTGTCTCTCAAAGCCATTCACTCGTTCATCTTCAGCTAAAACCTCGATTCCAACTCAGTCAGTCATTCTTTACCAACAAAACCAACCATCAAAATGATGTTCCTTCACTCGCTTATCGTCGGCGTCTTCGCCATCGCCGCCTCCGCCGCTCCGGCCCCGACCCCGCAAGGAGAACCCGCGCAAGACCGCTGCGCCGGCGTCGCTTGCCCCGAAAACTCCTACTGCAAAGTGTTCGACTTCCGGTTGGAGCACCCAGTCGGTTGCCAATCCAATGGCACCGTACCAGCCGATGCAGAGACTTGCGGCACAGTCATCTGCCCGACAGGAACAACATGCTGCAACTCGCCCTGTGGTGTGTGTGCGAAACCTGAGGAAACATGCTTGCAATGGGTCTGTTAAGTGGTGGGATCACGGATGAGATGGGACATTTTGGGAAGCAATACGGATACCAGGTCATTGTCAGGAGTTCAGGCGCCCCCTTGGTCATCTTCAAATCTCAACCACAAACAATATGATTCGAGTACCGGAGAATTGAGCATTTTTCATTTCAACTTACAAGAAACCTGTGCTCGTGCTGCTCACCCCTGACGAAAATTGCCGATTTGCTTATGACTCGCGTGAAATACCCCGAAAATTAATCATCGCGGTCAAAAGGTACAGCAGACTGGTGTTTCAACGTCGACCACCAGCGACTCACACTACGTGCATGCAATGTTGTAGGTTCAAATCCTCTGTAATTTTCTGATTCGCTTCAGACTTGACGTGCGCCGTATTTGACTTGAACTTCGCGACGACACGCAGCGTGCAACTGATGTTAAGGCGTCATCCGATCTTCAGACCCTGCCAAGCCTTGGTGATAGCAAACTCTGGTGTTTGGGTCATCCCAGTCTCTGCATAGTACCGTTCCCAGTGATCGACAAGCCCCCGCATCACCTGCGGCTCCTTGTCTGATACATCGTTCATCTCCGCAGGGTCCTTCTCCACGTCATAAAGCTCCCAGTCATCCTTTCCCCTGGGTTTATTCAACCACACTGCCCTCCACTTGCCTTCGCGAATCGCCCAGAGCCCGAAGAGCTCCCAGCCGTGGACGTGCACGTCCTCTCCGTGAACCGTCGAGTCCGGCCCCGCGTAATCGGAAGAAGTAAAGTGATCCACCCAGGACTTGCCGCGGGGTACTACGACTCGACGACCTCGGAACGTCGTACCAGGGTGTTGGACCTGAGCCATCTCCAAGATCGTGGGGAGGATATCCATAACGGTGGTGAAACGATGCGTGATAGCGTCGGGCTTGGCTTGAAATGGTGGATAGCGGATTAGGCATGGGCAACGAATGCCGCCCTCCGTGATCCAATACTTTGAACCACGGGATGGTGCCGTCGCGGCACATGCCCATCGCGGACCTAGTCCGCGTCAGCGCTGAAGTACCAGCAATGGAAGACTTCACGGGGATAATACTGACCATACCAGACGAAAGGCGTCTTGTCACCAATGTTGTCCAAACTGTTGTCGTAATACTTTTGGACTATCCCAGCAAACGTTGTTTCTCTTCCCATCATCTAGGTACGGTAGGGCGAAAGTTAACATCAGACCGACGCGATGTTGATGACGCGGCGAAACTTACAGGTATGGCCTCGAGTGCAGCGCCCTCGGCACCATTGTCCGACATGAACAAGATAAAAGTGATATCGAGCTCTGCTGTAGCCTCTAGATGATCAATGACTCGTCCAATGTTCTCGTCAATGAGATCCACCATGGCAGCGAAGACTTCCATCTTTCGTGCAGATTCCTTGCGCTCTAGTTCCGTCATGTTTTCCCAGTCTTTACCCATCACGCCAACTGGTGGCGCATGTACAACGTCCTTGGGCACGAGACCGAGATTCACCAAGCGTTGTAGTCGCTGTTGTGTCAATGCATCAGGACCATCATCGTATTTACCAGCTGAGGCAGCCGTTAGTGATCGAGCATACACCATCACGACTCTGCTCATAGTTCAGCTCATACCGTATTTCTCGACTACCTCTCGTGGGGCCTGGAGGGGCCAGTGAGGTGCGGTGAAGGGCAAGTAAGCAAAGAACGGTTGTTCTTTTTCCTTTTCGTTTCTCTGCTTGAGGAATTTGATCATACGATCGGTGAAGTACCGCGTCGAGTAGAAATCATCAGGAAGGTCCGTCCTGTGGTTGATGAACCTATCGCCATCCATCCAATGGCCTTCTGTATCGAGGCTCGGGATTTTGAATTCGTCGTCGTCCAATTGAGGCTCATAAGCATGGTGATTCCCAGAGCCCGGCAGGAAGGTGAAGTTTTTCGTGAAGCCTCGATTGCAAGGTGCGAGCTCCTTGGTCAGTCCGAGGTGCCTGTAAGGCCGTCGAGGTCAGCCAGTCTGATACTGGAGCTCCAGTCTTCACGCCGCCTGCCAAGCGTCAAACTTACCATTTCCCAGAAATAATGGTGTGATAGCCAGAGTCTTGCAAGATCTCAGATAAAGCAGCTACCCTCCAGTTCAAATAGCCTTCGTAGCCGGGCTTGTCTTTGAAATAATCTCCAAAGTGCCTCATGTGCTCAGCCATTTGGCTTTGAAAGTTCGTCAGCTTTTGCCATGCGATGAGCATAAAAGCACCTACCAAGCCCAGCAATGTGATTATCAGTTCCAGAGAACAACATCGACCTTGTCGGCGAGCATGCCGACGCAGTGTGGAAGTTCGTCATGCGAATGCCATCTTTGGCGAGCTTCTCGAGAGTCGGTGTATGGATTTCGCCTCCGTAGGGACTGACATCAGAAAACCCGAGATCGTCCGCGACGATGATTAGGAAGTTTGGCCGTTTGGTTGTCATGATTAGTGACTATCATGTGCTGGAAAAGACGCCTCAAGGAACTCGTTGGGAGATATGGATGTCAAAAGCGATTGTAATATGGTGATAATTCAAGTGGTTGGGAGGATCGATTGGGTTCTTAACTTCTTGCACGGGGAATGGAGACCATTCCTTCTTCACTACTCCTTCGAATGGCGTGAACACTATTGGGACTGACGCAATTCAGTTAAGTCACTCATCTGAGATGATTTTCCTTATTTTGAGAGGGGCTGAAACTGTGATCAAATGGGGCATATCCGACTCCTCTCAAAAGAGTGCGAGTGATGAGGCTATCTCCCCGTTCTTACCCGTTGGCGGTAGCAACACCAGGTTGATGCAGACCCCGCTGTCGAGATCCGTCGAGATCCGGGCACTGAGGGAACGCAACCCAACTCGTCGATCTCATATGCACTACTTACTTTCGAAGCGACTGTTATGATCAGCTTCTGATAACAGCTTTAGTAGGGTGTAGATCCCTCTGCAGAACGTTTTCGACATTGCCATTCTTTGATGGAATGAATAAAACGCATTTAGTGTGGGAGGAGACCATAATCACCATCAAGGCCGTCGCCTGAGTCTTCTATGTAAATGTATCTGCAATAAATAAGTAGCATTCGATTATTTCTTATTATGCAAAACATCCCAGCGGTTTAGGTCCTTGACCTGGTGAAGACCGTCGTTGACGGGGATAGACGGGGAGATGTTTCTGGGGAATGACCCAACTACAACTAAGCTGTCCAGAATTCGGAATGGGCGTTGCATCCTCCCCACACTAGTGAATGCTCCGGTCGACCTGGTTGACAGGGGCTGCCACCTTCGAGTAGAGTTTTACACCAAGGAGCTGGCTCAACTTCTCCTAGAGTTAAGCCTGGGAAGACGCCCGGCATATCGTCAACTCTAGTCTTGATGGCGCAATTGAGGGTCTGCCATTGCACTTGTAAGAAGATTGAGATAAATGATATAAAGCTGCCATGGCTGTATCTCTCAAAAGTGGATGTCTGTCTGAGCTGTGGTGTACCTTAACAAGCTCACCTAGACTGGCAGCCAATCTTTTAGCATCAAATCACTATCAGGCACCATGTTTGGCCACCTCAAGTTGCGGCAGTCTTTCAACAGATCATTGACTTCAACGATTCTGCTTATAGCTGTCTCTCAATTCAATTTTGGCTTTGATCAACAAGGCTTCAACTCAACCCAGGCGATGGACGCTTTCGAGCGGCAATTCGGCTGGTATAATGCCAAGACGAAAGCGTACTACCTTGAAAGCTGGTGGCTTTCTCTTTTCGCTGGTCTGCCCTACATTTGATTTGGCATTGGTAAGTTTTAGATATAAAATCTTTCGCTTTGGTACGAGTATTGACAGCTCCGTCACTGACGTAGGCATTCTGATTGGGAGCACAGTCAGTAAACGATACGGCCGGCGAATGTGCATGTTCTCGATGAGCATCTGGTCTTGTGTGGCGACGAAAATAATCATGACGTCCAGAAACCGGGATCAGATTCTCGCTGCTAGGATATTGGCCTACATCTACATCGGCATGGAGCTCGCTGTCGTGCCCATCGACCAGTCGGAAATAACCCCACAGCGAGCTCGTGGTTTCGTAGTCGGTACATACCAACTGAGCTTAGCAGTACGTTAGAGGATGTCTTTCTGAAGTACTGAAATTTATGTTGACAATTTGTTTCAGACGGGGGGCTTGGTCGTCAACGCCGTGTCCCGAGGCACTGGGAGCTTAGATTCGCCTGCGGCCTACCTGATACCGTATGGGTTCTTCTACATCGTACCCGTGATAGTCATTGCTGGAATCTGGTTTGTCCCAGAGGTAAGTACCCAACAGTGACTGATCGTGTTTGCACAAGGAGGGCAATAGACTGACCCTCCTTCTTACGGAAATCTCCCCGTTGGCTTGCGATGCAAGGTCGCCATGACGAAGCACTGATAGCTCTCACTCGTCTCCGCCAAGGCAGCTTCACAAATGAGCAAATCGCGACCGAAATGTCTCAAATTCGCGCTGGTATAGATCACGAAGTCGAAAAGGGTACTTTCATGGACATGTTCAAGGGCAAGCAAGTGACGAAGCGAACCATGTCAGTCATTGGTGCCAGCTTCTTTCTACAAGCTACGGGGTCAATCTTTGCTTCTGTCTATGGCGCCATTTTCGTCGAACAGCTAGGGTTCATCAACCCTTTCACTGTCACCATGATTACCTTGAGCATCAACATTGTCATGTGTGTCTGCTCCATGGTCCTATTGGATAAGTTAGGACGGAGGTAAGGCCCCTAGTTTGCATGATGTGCCTCAAGCAACAGCTACTTGCACCGATTGGCTGACTTATTATCGGCATTAGAAACGTCATCTTCTTCGGCGGGTCGATTCAGGCTGTCGGTCTCTTCGCCATGGGCGCTCTCGGACTCACGTTCAATCCGAGCGTCGCCGGCAAGTCAGCCATTGTCGCGATGATGATTGTGATGACTACGGGGTTCACTCTCGGATGGGCATCAACATCGCATGTCCTCTCTGCCGAGATTCCGAGCATGCGCCTCCGCGACGTTACGTATCAGACGGCCAGCGTCGTCAACATTGCAATGCAATTCACCGTCGCTTTTACGCTACCGTATTTGCTCAACGCCCCGTACGCGAACCTGGGGTCCAAAGTTGGTCTGATCTTCGGCACAATAAGCTTTCTCTCACTCGTGTTTGTCTACCTCTGCGTGCCAGAGTGCAAGGGCCGCACACTCGAAGAGGTGGAGTGGACATGCTCTTTGAGCTGAAGATCCCGATGCGGAAATTCCAGAGCAAAGTTCTTCCAACCGACGTTCGCCAGCAAGGACTTGGCAAAGTAGACGAGGAAGTAGCTTCGGAGGTGACAATGTCGTCAGGGCCCAAGAGACAGCGTGAAGATTGAGAAACAGTTCATTACAAGACAATACCTTGATTCAGGCAAAATAGCATCAGTCACAAACAATCACAATGAGTTGGGAGCAATGTTCTGAGTGTGGCATCTATCGTCAATTGCAAAAACCTGTAAACAGTACATAGATATCTCATTCGCGATACAGCCAAACCCAAAAAAAGACCAAAGGAGTGACGCAAAAACCATGATACTCCCCCGTCTCACACGCAACCGTTACTTCATCAGACATAACAAACTACCATGCATATTATCCTCCTCTTTCCAAACTCCTGTCGTGACATATCCGTACACTTGATTTAATCATACCCGGTCGGTGGAAACCAGCCATTTAGAGCATGAAAGCACCAAGAGCAAAGGCACCAGCGACGATGGCACCGACGGCGCCGAGCATGCCGTTGCTGCCGGGGGTGTGGAGGCCGGGGGCAGCATTGCCAGTCTGGCGGCCACCGCCAACGATGGTGGAGGTAGCGATGGAGGGAAGGCCACCGTTGCCGGAGGTGAGGAAGGTGGTGGTGATGGTGGAGCGCTCGCTGGAATGAGTACGGCTGGAGGAGGACTCGGTGGTCTGGGCACCGCCGCCGAAGGTGGTGGTAAGCTGGCTGCTGGCAGTCAGACGGGTGGCGAGGACGATGACGGTGTTGGCGAGGGAGGTGGATGAGGAAGCGTAACCGCTGGCGCTGGGCAGCTGGCAAACGTTCATGATGCTCTGGATACCTGTGTGAAATCGCAGATTAGCTCACTGATTCAAAAAGGGGTGATATGAAAGTCTGGATGAACATACCCTCAAGGCTGCGCTGCTGGTCGGAGGGAACCTTCTCGATCATGCAAGCGTTGCACTGGCCAGCCAAGTTCTTCAAGTCGAAGGAGTTGTTGGTGCAGACACACTGCGAATCGAGCTCATCCTGGAGCTGATCGCTGTTGTTGTTGCCCTGGCCGGGGACGAAGTTGACAGTGCAGATGTTGCCAAGGTCACGGACGGGGCGGCAGATGGCAGAGCAGTCCTGGGGGATGTCGTTCTGGTTGATGCGGAGATTAGCGTGGACAACCGCCGCGGCGGCGAGAGAAAGAGCAACGGCCTTGGCGTGCATTTTGATGGTTGATGCGGGTAGTTGGTTGGTTAGAAAAGGTTGAGAAGATGCTGAAGAGCGAATGAAGCCGAGGCTGCGAAAGATGTAAGAGTCGAAAAAGGCTGCGAGAGACTAGCTGTCGAAAGGCGAAGTGAAGCTGTTGTGTGAGAGTGATCTGATGAGGAAAGGAAAAGGCTACAAGACGGGTTCGGAATAGGATATTTATGTTCTGGGGGTCAGGCGTTCATGGGCTGCGTGAACCCTCCCGCTTTGCCCGGAGATCCGCTTCGGCAAGCACCCAGGCTGGGGCTCCTGGGCGTCGAAACAGTCACCTCTGCTGTGCCATGACAAAGAACGAGAGAGTGGCACTGATGGGGAAGAGTAACCATCAACCACGAGGCGGGCTGTGGTGGGCAATGCCAAGCTGCATCTCAGAGCCCCGAGCAGTCCAAGCCTCAGACCAGACCGAGACTGAGTGACGCTATCGGTATTCTGGACTGACTGAGCAGGTTGGTTGGGTATGCTCTCAAGCAGCTCAGAGGTACTTGCTGACTCTGGGCATAACCCGGCTCAGAGCAGGGTGACGTGGTCCAAGAGCCATGCATCTTTGGACAAACATCTGTCGAAGCATAACATCGTGAAACGCCTTTTTTGCCTGTCACCCGTGTGAGTGTCTGCCGCCGTTCCTCCCCACGTGAACGGCGTGGACTAGTGCCTCCGGTCAAACCTTAGTTTGTTAGTGCGCCCCAGTACTCTATCTGTGTAGAGCGTACGGATAGACCTGGCTAACATGATGGGGCCCTCTTCTAAGCGTAGCGGATGCGGAAAGACATGATGCAGGGAGAATTTGATGCAAGGCATGGGTCTTTGCAAAGGGGGCACTTGGTGATTGCGGCGTTCGTTTGATCCCCCTGGCAGTCCATCCGTAAAGCGGCTCGCAAGAAGATGCGGCGGGAACCGATGGTTCGGTCCCTACGATATTCGCCAGGCTGGAGGGCCATTTTGGAATCCTCCCAAAAGCAGGGTCGAAAGGACGAGGGGTTGGGAAAGGATTTCTCTTGGCAGCGGGAAGAAGCATGCTCAATGCTCGGAGTGATCTTGGCCACAACCAGTGCTACCCCCTGCACCCACCAGAGAACGAACCTGTTCTTACCCCCAAAGTTCCGAGTGGCAAGTCATACACAGCCGTAAGTTAGAATTATCAGACACGATACTGCGGTCCAGCTGACAGCTCAAGGCATCCCAGAGACGAGTGATAAGGCCTATTCTCCCTGGGCATTACGCTGCCAAGTGCAGATTTTCCAGTTGCCACAACCCTCATTGCTTTCCTCGTCCAAGAAAGTATTGCCAGCGAGAATCTGGGCTGACCTGGACATCCGCACGGCGCTCTCAGTCCTCCTCCATTGTCCCGACGATCTCCCCGTCGTCGAGCTGTCGCGTTTCACGTCCGGCCGTAGCACCGGGCCGTGCCCTTGAGCTAACCAGTGGACTTTGCCCAGGTCTGCCCTGCACTTCCCCAAGTTATCCGTTGAAAGTGGGAGTCCTCTCGGTTCTACCTGGTGCCTGGGGGCGGTGTCATACCGAAGTGCCGGCTAACCGGTTCAAGTCGGGTTGTTGTCTGACTCTGGGGCAGCCGTTGAGAAACCAGAGATTCGAGAGACCCACACACGTTTGAATAGAGTCGACTAACGTAGCTCGGTAAGGAGGGAGATCCGCGGGGAGACTAGAGAAACAAAGCTTGTCCGTGCATTCGCTCCGGAGTGGTTTTTCCTGCCCTTGACTCACTATGAGTCTGAGTCGCGAAAGCTGGAGATGGAGGAAATCTCATCTCCGAGAGCCTGGGCTGAATCAAAGAGCTTCGAATCAAGCAGATTGAGAAATTGCCATCTTGGCATCTTCCCCGTGCCGAAGACAACCCTTGGCTTTAGTCCGAGTCGTCTAGCCTGGACCGTTGTCGCCACACAACATGAACGACGGCTCGATCCAGTGCCAGGGCAACACAAGGTTTACCTGGATCGTCGCCTAGGCAATTATTAACTTCTAGTGCCCGTCGAAACTAGACACTAACAAACGCCTCTCAATCAAACCCGTTCCATTCGGATTCTAGTCCGAACAAAGCAGTTTGTCAAGCCTCGAGAATGCGACCATTGAGACACAATGCTCGGTGACTTTTGAGCTAAGTTCGCCTCACCCAGCAAGAAATCATCAAGCAGTGTAGGTAGTTATTTGGAAATTGAGGATTCAACAGATGAAAGATCTCGGCATGAATCACTCGGCCTGTTGTCGTTCGTCGCCCACTTGAGCAGAGTTGTGCTTGCTCGGCAAAGGTATTCATGCCGTAAACCCAACCAGAGCTCAGGTCAGTCAAAGGCTCCAAACATGACCCATCGAGATGGCAAGGTCGTCCAAGGTCCCACAACTCACGGATCAACGGGCCATCCCACTGCCCCAAGCTCCCATCCATCTCAAGTCCCCTGCTTTGTATGAGAACATACCCAGGTGACTGGTTCTTTACAATAAACGTCACAGATGGATCACTAAAGCTGCTGGGTTTGTGGCGGAGTCAACCTGCATCGTGGCGGATGGTCTGCATCTTTTGGGGCATGGAAAAGCCCCAAACAGGAGTTGTGAGTGTACGTCGAGTTGATCCAAGCATTTACCTGCACGCTGCACCCCGGGTTTGTAGATAGAGGGGGCGGCATGGATGACTTAAGCCGAGAAACATCTGAGATGTCCGAATACTCGGCGGAAGCAGTTTTTGATGACTGCCAGACTGGCTCCTCATTCGACATTTCGCCTTCGCACTGGAGAATCTCCACGCACGGTGCCACTCTATGCATCAAATGCAGTTCATGAATCACACAACAAGTAGAGATGAAGAAGAAATCCCCAAGAAAATTTCCGAGCTAGCCAACCTGGTCGATATTTCTGCAGGAAGCCCTCGCCTCAGTCCTTAACTGCAGAGAAAAGAACTACCAGGAACTAGCGGCCCGTGCCCTTCGTCTCACGGTGCAGTCCAAGACGATCCTCTCAAGGACAAGGAGGACGAGGACTGTGGCTCGGCCTGCACTGAGATTACACGGCGGCGAAACATGTCAAGGCCGTCTGTGCGGGAACAAAGAACCAGCAGAATACGGCAGGCGTCACATGTTCAAAGTCCGTCGGGATTGTCGAGGGTTGTCGAGGCGAGTGGTTTTTTCTCCTTCGTTTTTCGCCCTGGCGCATCCTCGGCGACACATATTGTGGTGAGGTCCGGTCAAGCGTCAGTCGCACACTCGCACTTGGCTGTTGCCCCCACCCACGAAATGATTTTGCCGCCTACGCCAGAAGTGCAGGATAAGTCTTGGCAAACAAATACACTATCGGTCGAAAACTTGAGTTGGATCGTATGAGACGATGGATGCATGCTGTCACGTAAGGTGAGGTAGTCAAGATACCTAGATAGCTGGGTGATCATCGGATGCACGATAGCAACAAGTAACGAAGTGTCTGAGAAATAGCAAAATTCATTATATTCGGGGATGGGCACGACAAGATAGCTACACATATCAACCTCACTATCCGTCAATCCGACCGGGTAGGGTATATTTCTTTCAACAACGCCTCCATGCGAACGCTCCCGGCAACCTCTGCTTCTTCCGGCGACGGCGACGGTAACGGACTGCTGAGAAGTGGGGCCCGGATCTGGCGGTCTGAAGGTGTCGGAGTATCGACGAATCGGTTGATGGAGTATGCGGAATCCGACGATACGGGAATTATGGGTCGCTCTGCCGGCGGGGCCGCGGCCGGGGCTGGAGTCGGGACAGAGGGTGGGGCTATCGATAATGCGTCGGGGGTTCTGTAAGGCAAGAACGCCGGAAGGTTAGCCAGAGGGACTCCGGAATTGCAGCGGAAACGAAAGCGGCGGCACTGAAACAGCTTGATTAGTATACTTACTTGTGGCCGAAGTTGCATACAGCGCCAGTGGACGAAGGTGGCATAATTGCGGCAAGAGAAGAATTCCAGGCTAAGGTAACGTGTAGGTTTCCAGAGGCCCCAATCGGACAGCTGTGTGATGCGGATGCACTTGGATGGGCGGGTGGGGATCCGAAAGCTGTCCGATGTTATTCAGCTGCCAAACACTGGTGGGTCTTCAGTACTGGGAGAGTTGGGGGCCCCGAGCTCATCAGTATCACTAGGTACCTTAGACAGATCAAAGCAGAGTCCAGAGAAGGTCAGGCCGATGCAAGAGGTGTCGACAATGATGGCTGCAGTGAAAGGACGATGGGCACAGGTGAAGGTAATCGCTCCGATCGGTCCATCGGGGCACCGGGGGCATACGGAATATTTAAGAGCATCGGGTCAAGTTGATTCACTGGCAGGGGCAAACTGGCAGGGGAGAGAACAAATCTGATTGTAAAGTATTGATAGACCATACAGCAACCTCTCTCCGCGGAGGCAGCCTTACGCTAGACGAGAAAACGCCCCCCGCAAACCACACCATCAAGCAACAGCTGTGTGAGATCCCGCAACGTGGGTGCCAGAATGGCGGGAAACGCCATCTGGACAGTGACGTGATGGCGCGTTCCGAGCTTTCTACCCTGGCACCCCCATGCTTTTTAACAACGATCAATATCACCAAAGTCAACGGTTCGCGGACGATAATCGCCACACGAGAAACCAATATTGGCTCCGTCCGGTAAGGCAAATCATAGGGTAGGTTTACGTGAGGATGGGAACCCACGAGATCACTTGCTTCAGAAACACTGGAAATGTGATGGCCATCCGCAGAACGCAGCTACGTACATTCAGGGTCTAGAACACCCAGAGACCAGAGGGTCTAGGCCTTTGGATGTCATGAACCCGCATCGCCGGGGATGGAAAAACTGACAATGCCATGAGCCGTTGCATCGTTGCATCTCTGTGCCCCGACACACAACTTCGTCCTTGTAGCCAATCCTCATTCGATGAAAACACGAAGTAAGAAAGACTCGAGTCCAGACTCTGCAGCCAAGATGCGCGCTGCCGCAGCTGTAGGTGACGTCAATCCCCAAGAATAAGCAACGGGGCGTCGGAGAGGCATCCGATGGGGAACCAGGGGAGGGGGTTCTGTTGCTCGAGAAAAGAGTCTAGCCCCTTCGCATTCCTGCGCTCACTTTTTCCACAGCCACCACCCCAGCGTCAGCGGACACCAGGCGAGAGGTTCTGGTCCGCAGCAGACACTCTTCGCAGTTCGAGTCCCCTTCTCCAAAGGTCTAGACTAGCAAGGTATCAATGACGTGTGCGGCTCGATAATGATTCTCGGACTGTGATGATGTCGCTCTGAGCTGCGCAATTGTTCGACTTGCGTTGCTTCTATTGCCCAGGCCGTCATGACCTGGGAAGGATTTCTGACGTAGGAAAAAAAGCAGATTGTCGCGGTACCGTTGCTTCAGCCATGAAGAAGGGTGCCTAAAGGAGACCTCCCACAGACACCGGCAAACACACATTTCCCTCGTCAAGAACCGGAAAGTCGAACATTGCCCATCCCTCGGCGGTTCGTCTGCCATTTCCACCCACCCACCATACCCCTCATGGACAGTTGGACCCTGACTGGTTGCCGCCAGGGGTCCAGAAGCTAGGTACTGGGTGGTCCCAAAACTGCAGAGATCGCTGCCCACGCCGTACCCCCACCAAGGGCAGGCAAGGGAGCGCGGAGATCGTCAACAACGGACGTCCCAATCCGAGTTGGCTTCACTCGGAATGGGCATCTGACTTGACGCCCCTCGTACGATATCTTCTTCTAAATGGCTTGAACCGGATGCAATCGGGTGAGGCAACGGAAGCCTGACAGAGTATCCCCTATGCTCAAGGTCAGCTCAAGTCTAGGGAGGAAACCGGCGATGACATCACCGTCGCAGTTGGTCTGACCGTCGGATTGCTTGCCCAGACAAAATGACCATCGATTATGCGGATCCATAACACATACAAGGCTACCGGATAGGTCTCCATAACCCCCGAGATCCATTTGCGCTATCTGTTTCCTCCGTGTCACGATCTGTTTTCTCATCAACGAATGTGTTCAAAACATAGGGGGCCCGTCGTGTGCTACCGTTAATATTAAGGGGTCTTTCTAGGATTACCTACACCCTCAGTGCCAAGCAGCTCGTGGTCGCCATCGGCAACATGAACACAGCTCACACTCCGTGCTTTAGAAACGCCAGAATCCCGAGGTTTGTTCCTCGCTGTCGCCATGGATGTTGGGTCGAGAAAGATCTCATCCTCCCCTTTAGACTCCGCCCTTGAACTTTTCCAACCCGCATCACGCCAAACCCAGAGTTGGCTGTAGCCAGTCCATTACAATCCAGATGCTTGGCTGAAGACAAAGTTACATCCATCTTCTCTTCCAAAAACGTAATCGAAACCGTCGGCACGGATGGAAAGTGATAGCGATGATGGTGAAGCCAAAGGGGCCTTGCGATCCTGAACTGGTGGCACATCTTGCTTGGAGCAGCATTGTGGTCGCGGCTTCTTTGTCGAGGCCTTTTTGGCAGAAGGTGCAGTTCTTTTTAGCCTCGGCTGTGTATCGGGTTCCCTTTCGTTCCATTTGCATGCCAGAATCTTGAATTGGACCTTCTTGGGGTGTGTATGCTTGCTGTTCTTGCTTTGGGTGGCGTAGAGGATGAACCTCTTCTGTAGCCAGGATATGGTGTCGACTACTCTAGACTTGACGTCCCAGTGATCCTCGTTTGGTTCATAAAAGACTCTGCCTTCACATTTGAAACCATATGGTGCGAATTTCACTGTCGGGTCAGTGCTTGAGAATTCGGTCTCTCGCTTTGTGTTGTTGGTCACTTCCAATGTCTCGAACAAGTCAGCCACTTTGTTCGGCGATAATCGACCGTTAGCAGCATCTTCCTTTGTACCTATCCAAAGCTCAAGTCAGTATATCTTCCATCCTCAATCAACGGGGCAATCTTACGCTTCTTAGACGGCTCAAGGATAGCAGACTCCTGAGGTTTGATATCTGACGACGGGGCAGCGGCTTGTTCCGAGGCAGTAGTTTGATCTGGGCCGTTCTCTGATGATTTGAGGCTCGAGTTCTTCTCGACGATGAGATAATCAATGAAGTAGAATTTCTCTAGGTTCGGCAAACACTGGGCAAGAAATTCGTATAGGTGGACAGGGTAGACCTTAGTCGCATGGCCAGAGTAGCGGGTGCCGCAGTGACCGCACCGGAAACCGCTGACACTAGTTTCCCACGCGTGGCAGTAGGGGATGGCGACGTGGCGGATATTGGTAAGTTGATTGCATCTGATTGATTGAGACATGCGACACCAGCTTCGAAAATCGTCGGCGGACAAGTACTCGAGGCAGACCACGTCAGAGGAGCCGCCGAGCGAGACGACGCGACCGTCCTCTAGCTTCAAGCCACCAGGTGCATTGGTCAGACGTCGAACGACTTTGGCTGCCTCGAAGCAAGTAGCCGACAACTTGTTGAGGACGTGATTGACGGAGACGTAGTTGGAGATGTTGGCTTGGGGTGTCGGGTATCGGGGCTCTAGGATGGCGGGCCAGACCCTCTTAGGTACCATCTCTCGCGCAAAGTCGAGAAGGAAATCGTCTTCGTCCTTTGGATCTTGGTCATCGAATGATCCTGGCGGCATCGGTGAGGGAAAATGAATAATTCGAGCCGCAGTCCTCAGACGTAGGAAGTGCATGCCAGGTTCGAAGATGGCATCCTCCCATATGTGCTCTCGGATTTCGGGCGGCAAATGCGAAAAGTAGGTGAATGAACGAGCGGAAGCCGGAATATCAAACTTGACTGGCGATGCCATATTAGCGGACATATTTTCCTTCTGCTTTTTCGGTTGTTGATGTCTAAAGCGAACGGATTGAGAAACTGATGGAAACTAGCGATGGTGGATTGTTCCGTGAGAAGAGTTAGTGAGGATGCTGTTGTCCCTGATGGAGAGTTGAGTGGAAGAATCTTTTCGGCTGGAGAGAGGCGAGGAAGCCGGCACGCCCTTTTAGAAGGTGGTAATGGAATCGGCCACTCCATTCAGTGATGACAGGTGGCAATTCACGCAATCAAGCGAAGGGATCTGTGATGCTCCTGACTTGACTTGGGATGATGGAGGTAAGATATCGAAGAAGGTGAAGGGAAGAGGGAGCGACGCTGATGCGGTGGTGAAGGTGGGAAGATGAGCTCCCTTACGAGCCACGTGGAGGCAACTAAGAGAGAGGATCGACTTCTCGTGGGCGGTGAACAGTGTGAGGGAGAAGGTGCAAAGGGATTTTGTGTGCCTGCCTTTCAAAAATCGAGGTGTATACATCCACGATACCTTTGTGGACAATTGAGAACAGCTGAAGGAAAGAACAGTTAGGGTATCCATCTCATAGAAGTGGGCACTTCAACACTCCTTTCCGCCTTCAGGCTGTCTGTAAACTTTACCATAACTTCCCAAGACCGATAGTTACCTGCCCTGAATATGGAATCCTACTATCAGACGTTTTATAATTCATCGTCAGAAATTGTCGTATCTTTGATGGGTTGTCAAGGGCGTTGGTAGGCTACTTTTTAAACGAATGATCACATTGAGATACATTCAAATAAGAGGGGAGGTCTTTCAATCTCTTATTGAATAAGAAGAGGTAGGTGAGCAGGAGCAGATGTGGTGAGACTCGAGACCTGAGGTAGCACCTGGCCGGCTGTCACGAAGACTCGGAGCCGAGTCGGAGCCGATTCGGACCCGTCACGTGCTGGACCTATATTAAGATACGTACCGAAGACCCACCTCAAGTGAGGTACGTCCCTTTGCTGGCCATGAAAGCCTCCGGACACTTAATAGTTATTAGTAGACGACGAAAAGCCTCCGACCGAGCCAAGACTGTGAGACTTTCGACGTCTCCTTATCCATCGCATTGATTTCAATACCATACTAATTGCAATATAGCCGCGTCAATAAGTATGGCATGACGAACGCATCCGATTCAAAAGCGATCCGCCTGCGAGCGATGCCGTCGTCAAAAGCTCCGATATTCCCGCCATTACGACGAAAACGCTGCACGCTGCACGCTGCACGCGATGCGCGGTGCGCGGCCTCGACTGCGTCGCCGGCCACCCGCGCCGGATTGGAAGACCATCAAGACGTATGTCACAGAATCACGCGATGCCGATGCGTCGGTCAGATGTATCTATCCCTTACACGAACGCGGTCAATGGCCGACGACCGGCCGACGCTGAGATCCATGTTGGCCTACCCGGTGAACTGTCAGTGGCAGACTCCTCAATGGGCACGAATACAGAAGCAAAGGGCGTTGGAACCATCACTGAAACGGACATTCTCTTGAGTGACCGTCTGGATGATGTCCCTTGGGATATGTCCCTAGACCTTCGCTTAGAAGACTCTATCCCCGACCTGACGAGTAGTGTAGGATTCGGCCAAGCAGACGAAAAGATGGGGCGCGTAACCGGCAGATATCAGGTCGCGGACTCGGCAATCTAGCATGGAGCTTTCTACAAACTCTCAAAGACTAATGCCGACCTCCATTCCTCCTTGCCAAGTATTCAGATTCACAGACTGCATCTCGACTTTTGTCCCTTCGCCCACCCATCCTCAACCCTCAGCGTAAGCGGTCTTACTGTGCCTGAACTTACGGTCATTGCCTTTCAAGACTTCAGTTACAGTGGCATTTTATCATACCAGGAAGATGTCTCACTGGCGGCTAGGAGTTTGCCTGTCCGACAAGCGCTATCATGGGACAGCTCATGCTCCAAATCTGGGACTTTGGATCCATCGCTGCTCGCCCGGGGCAGAGCATCTTCGGCGCTTGGTTCTCATACTACCGTCCCCGTCACTACGTTCTCATTCAGCCAGTGGCTCTTTTTATCGTCAGCTGCTATGTACAAACCATCGCGGTCTTTGGGAAATCTTCGTCCAGATACAAAAAAGGCTAGAGTTAATTGCCTGGGACTCAATCTAGCTGATGGAAGGAATCAAATTTGGCGCCTTTCTGCCAAGAGATGCCTATTTTCAAGGTCTGCTGGACAAGAGCTGACTGGCTTCTGGGTGTTCCCCAATCGATACTATCATCGCCGATAGCCGTCGCATCTTCTAGTATCATCTTCCTACTCAATCTCGTCCTTTCCATGAGCTCAGATCCAGGGACCAAGCTTCCACATCACTGTCTATTCGGCTCAAGAATGACATCGAACGCATGCGATCGACTTTGGCGGATTCCAAGCCAAGAAAGGGAGTGGAATCCAGCCCGTGTCTTCGAAGTAAGAAACGGCAAGCACTTGTTAGGCCGTCCCTCAAGAGGTATGATGCCAACTCGTCCATCATTACGGGACTCCGAGTATCTCGCCAGACCGGCTTTTTGTCGCTCACTGCTAAAACGACGTCAAGTATCTCATTGATGCAAAACTGCTTCCCCCCCACCTCCTAGGCCCACAACGGCGCATCGATCCCGTTCAGTCGGCATCGTCCTCCGACTATCTTCTGCCAATTCATCCAGCTCAACGTTGCAGAGAGCCGGTTCTTCGGCAGAGACTCCCACCGGCATGCCTCCTTCTGTCCACGTCAACACTGGGGGCTCAATCGGCATAGTACATCCGCGCGGTAGATTGCTCCCGTTTGCGCACTCATTCGACCTCAAATCTGCTCACGTCGGCGCCCTCCTCTACTCCACCACACCTCCGCGGAACCCACGCAGAATCGGTATATATACTTGGAGCAGCCACCCCTCGAACATGTCTTGGCACTCTTCCCGTGCCATGGCCGATGGCCTACGACTTTCGTTATTAGTTGACGGGCTTGTAGGGGTAAGCCTTCGAGTACCAGTCACGGCTCACACCAGTCAAAAGCGGATCGTGTTCACATTTTCGTACCCTCCCCCTTTTTCAATCTTTACTCCACTGGACCCCCATATTTTCATATATTTGTGACGGTCATCCACACTGCCTGTGGCACAGCGGTCTGCGATCCAACTCCTTTGTCATTTGATGGAATCTCTCTCACGAGCGGCGGGCACGGATGGATTCTCGTCCACGGTCCAAGGCACTGAGCCTAGTCTAGCCAAAGGAAACAGAGTACGGGTTAGCGGCAGGCAAGTCCTGCGTCTTCGAGCGTCAAACATCGACCGCGGGCTACGACTGAGCCCGCTGCCTCCTACGCTGTCGTCAACAAGCTACGGCCCCGTGTATTAGATGCCACTCACAAAGACTAGGCAAGGGTTGGTAACGCGGTAAGCCAAGACCAAGACTTTTCATAACAATTTGCAGTCACTTCACAGAAGGCAGGCATAGAGAAGATTGTTTGAACAGATATACATTGCAAAGCTTGAAAGACGCCCAGCTGCAAAAAAGGTGCGCTAGACGCCCGTGTTGGTAGTCGACTGAAAAAGGTGTTGTGCTTGCAGCGACATATACACCGGGTATAAATCTATTTACATGGTTTGAGAAACGAATCAATGTGCTCATTCAAAAGACCTTCTTCCAAGTGGAAGAAAGCCTTGTATTTTCTTTCCTCCTGTTCTTCATCTGCACACACTGCTCTCTACCAATGCTTAGTGGCGAAGGCGGAAAGAGCGAGCGTGGCGGCGAGCCTTCTTGGCGCAGGCCTCGTCAGCAGCGCCGGAGACGGCGGGGGTGGCAGAGGGAGCGGTGGTGGAGGGAGCAGAGGGGGTGGCGGGGGTGCTGCTGTTGGAGCCGGAGCCAGAGCCGGAGCCGGAGCCGTACAGGGCAGGGCCGGGGATGGTGTAGCTGGAGATGGTGGCGTAGGAGTTGAACTGGATACCGGCGTCGGTGTTCTTGTACAGTTCAGTGCCAAGGGTTCCCTCGGGGTTAGCGGTGCCGGAGCCAGTGATCTTTACGTTGACGCACTGGGGGTAGTTCTGGGCACCGTTCAGGGAGCCAGCGCCGTGCATGGCAATGATCTCGTGGCGGAGAACGTAGTTGCCGGCGGCGAGGTCGGAGGGGATGGTGGTGGACCAGGTGTTGTTGTTGGCAATGAGCTTGGTGGCAGCCCACTCCTGGGTGGCGATATCGATGCCGGACTCGTCAATCTTGACCCACTTGAGGGTGGTCTTGTCGACGGAAGCCCAGTCGTCACCGTCGACCTTTGCGGCGTAGGTGAGGACGGGACCGAAGTGAGACTCGGGCCAGGCGGACCACTCGAAGTCGACGGTGCCGCCGGCAGCGACGGTGGAGGCGACGGAGCCGGGGGCACCGTTCTTGTGGCAGTTGATGTCGGCGGTGGCGTAGCCGGTGCCGTCAACGAAGCCGTTGTCGAGGTTCTCGGCGGACCAGGCAGAGATGGAGGGGGGAGTGCCGCCGTTCTGCTTGAGGTAGTAGTAGTCGAGCTTGTAGCCGGCCTCGTAGGCGCCGTCGAACTTGAAGCCAGTGACGGTGCCGTGGGCAAGAGCGCTAGCGGCGAAGGCGCCAACGAGGGCGATGGTGGACTTGACGGAAGACATTCTTGAAAAGGCCGGAGTTGAGTTGTTCTTGAAAAAAGAAGGGAGGTTGGTTTGGGAAGAGAATGAATGAGCTTGAATTCGTTGGATGTAAGAGTTGTTGCAAAAGGATGTCCCAGTTTCACACAGTGAAGAACTGACGGTTGACAGTTGGAAAAAGAATGAAGTGGTGAAAGAACCAAAGAATGTGTGCAACTTGCAATGTTGGATGAATAACTAACAGAGAAACGAACTCAAAAAAGCGAGGACATCGTCGTGTTATTTATCCCACCGGAAGACTCTTGTGAAGGATGCCAAGCAAGCAACCCCCTTTCGTCTCTTAGACTCTTTCCAGTTCCCAACCTGGTCAGTTAGCTGCCAAGATAGTCCTCGCAAGCGCCTGATAGCTGAGCCGCCCCTCAACCCTGGTGAGGTGGAAAGACTGGGAGAATATGCAAACCAGAGTGGTGGAATTTTGGGGGGGGGGGGGGGGGGTGGCACCCGTCGAGGCCGGGGGGGAGACCAACACAGCGTCACAGCAGCCGGATGTGCTCCGA